GGCGAGCTGGGTAGCATCGGCGACCACGAGCGCGCCATCGACTTCAGCCCGTACTTGGAGCCGCTGGGCGCGCCGCAGGCCCCGGCGCCGACCACGGCCACGGACACCTTCGAGGCGGCTCCGCCTGCGCCCGCCCCCGCGCCCGCCTCCTCCGGGCAGCACCACGACTTCCTCTCCGACCTCTTCTCCGACGACTACGGGGGCAAGAACTGCAAGAAGGCGGCCGAGTACGGCTACGTGAGCCTGGGGCGCCTCGGGGCCGCCAAGGGCGCACTGCACCCGAGCTGCTTCGCGCCCCTACACCCGCCGCCCCCGCCGCCGCCGCCGCAGCCCGCCGAGCTCAAGGCGGAGCCGGGCTTCGAGCCCGCGGACTGCAAGCGGAAGGAGGAGGCCGGAGCGCCGGGCGGCGGTGGCGCAGGCATGGCGGCTGGCTTTCCGTACGCTCTGCGCGCCTATCTCGGCTACCAGGCGGTGCCGAGCGGCAGCAGCGGGAGCCTGTCCACGTCCTCGTCGTCCAGCCCGCCCGGCACGCCGAGCCCCGCCGACGCCAAGGCGCCCCAAGCTGCTTGCTACGCGGGGGCGGCACCGGCGCCCTCACAGGTCAAGAGCAAGGCCAAGAAGACCGTGGACAAGCACAGCGACGAGTACAAGATCCGGCGCGAGCGCAACAACATCGCGGTGCGCAAGAGCCGCGACAAAGCTAAGATGCGCAACCTGGAGACGCAGCACAAGGTCCTGGAGCTCACGGCTGAGAACGAGCGACTCCAGAAGAAGGTGGAGCAGCTGTCGCGCGAGCTTAGCACCCTGCGGAACTTGTTCAAGCAGCTGCCCGAGCCCTTGCTCGCTTCCTCCGGCCACTGCTAGCGCGGCCCCCGCGCGCGTCCCCCTGCCGGCTGGCCTCCGCGCTGCTGGGCGCGCGACTCCGGGAAGCGCCCGCGCTCCCGCTCCCGCCCTCGCCCCTGGTGGCGCCGGCAAAACTTTGGCACTGGGGCACTTGGCAGCGCGGGGAGCTC